TTTTATTTATTACATTTATTTATTGTGTGTGTGTGGCCAGCTCAGCCCACCAGGGGGCGGGGCTGGCTGGCATGTGGTGCTGGGGGATCGAACCGTGGTCCCTGTGCTTTGCCAAGCTTGTTTCAAGTAGGTGCTTTAGACCACTGAGCCATCTCTCCAGCCCCTGGTTTGTTTTTTGAGACAGGGTCTTCTTGTACTGACTGTGGAGTCCAGGCTGGCCTTGACTCATGGCAGTCCTGCTTCAGCCTCCCAAGTGCTGGGACTACAGGCGTGTGCCACCACACCTAGTGACAATGCTGTTTTTAAAGAGTCTTTAAACCTTTGAGAAAATGCGTATAATATACTAAGCAAAAAGATAAAACTTGTTACAAAATTTGCAAATATTGCAAAATTTATTGGTTCATTATATATATAATATAATATTATATATTATATATACATATATTATATATATATATATATATATATATTTGTACTGGGGATCGAACTCAGGACCTTGCGTTTGCCAGGCAGGCACTTAGGCTGCTGAGCTATCTCCCTAGCCCTGTCACAGTCATTTTGACTTTGGGGAAGATCCAGAGTTGCACAGTGCCAGATCTGGTGACTAAGATGGATGAGCATTCACTGTCGTGTTTTCACGAGCCTGCCTTTCCACTGGATGGCATGGAGCAGCAATATTTATAGTATTTTTCATCACACCCTATAATAATGTTGCAGGCAGCTGAGTTAGAAATATTATAGGCAGACAGGGCGCAAAAGACAAGATACCTTACAACTGTGGGAGGGACTGATGCTCCTGCTGAGAGCCAGACCTAAAGAGCAAACAAATGCTAACCTCCCTAAAGATTAGCATCCCAGATTGATCATTACCCTGAGAAAGCCAAAAAGAATCCTTATCTGATGGCTACCAGATAAGGTCCTGTTTTACATTCATGCCCCCTTGCTTGGTGCCTCCCTTCCCCATTTGGTCCCGGACTTAATCAATTTTACCTGAGCAATGGTGCTTGTAATCCCATTGGTTGACCATAGTTTTGTCTCACCCTACATCCACCTAAGTGAGTTCCCATTCTCTCCACCTTAGCCCCACATGGTTTTACACTATAAAAGTCCCTGGAAGACACAGCTTCCAGGGGAACAACCCACTTGGGTCCCCCTCCTGTCCCTCTCTTGGACAGGAGCTTTTTTTCCCTCAATAAATATATTCTGCTCATAACCTTCGTTTGTTTCTAAAATTCATTCTTCGATTTTAGAGAACACGAACTCGTGCAGGTCAGGTCAGGAGATCATTTTTCCCTATGTCGTTTGGAGGCTCCCTGTATCATTTAGAGGTCACCCACCTGAGATCAGTTTTTCTCCCTGTGACAATAACTCTCATGAAAGAGGACTTTAAGAACTGCTTCAAAATGTGGCAAGAATAGTTTTTCATGTTTAATGTGAAGAGGAGGAAGAGGCCTTTGAGGGGAATTCATGGTAATGTGTCTTACTGTAATTAATGACTTAAACACCATATATTTCAACCATACCTTGTATATAAACTTATTTTGCAGGCTATTTTAAATTAGGGTTAGCTGAAGAGCATGTGGAGCTCTACATTCTCCCTATTGCTGGTTTCCTGGTGGGGCTGTGGGGCCCCAGAGGTTACTACACTGTGAGGAATTTGTTGCACAAGCTGAGCTGGGCTTACCTGGCCCCAGGCTGGTGTGTGTGTTATCTCAGCTCTGGTTCGTTTCTTGCCCTTCTGCTTTCTCCGTACCCTCCCACTCCTGTTTTCCCCATCACTGCGTCTTCCTTTATCTCTGTTCCCTACCCCTCACCCCAAGCTGGTTTCAATCAATGTCATCATCTGTATGGGACATAAAGGCAAACCCAAGCAGCTCGTGGGCAGAACTGGGTGCCCGGTCTCCTCGCTCCACCTGGCCATCCCGGAGGTCCCAACCTTCTCCTTCTCCTCTGCATCACCCCTGTTCTAGCCAGGCCATCCTGCCTACTTCATTTGTGTCTCCGACCCCTCACTCTCTTGGAATTCCTAGGCCTGAGGGCTGCTGGGTGGCTTTCCTCCTCCACCTATGCCTCCTGGGGGTTCCCGTGGGAAGCTGAGGTGGAGGCCCCTGTGATGTGCTCCATTTTGTAGTCATGAAGTGGAGAGCAGTTTCTGGTTTCCTGCTTGGAGGGCCCCTTTGGCTTTGCAGGGGTGCAAATGGTGGGGTTGTTCTCTCATGTGCCTTCCTCCTGAGGGCTCAGGGAGCATTGATGGCCTTGCAGGGGACCCTTGGAAAGAGCTTTTTGTCGGGGGAGGACAGGTTGCCCTGCTCAATTCTGGATTAAGGTCCCAGCCATTGAGGGAAAGGGGGTAATTTCTCTGCCTGGGCTGGGGGCAGAGCTGTGTCCTGGAGCACAGATGCCAGTCCCTAGGAAAGCTGCCCTTTTGTCCTGTGGTGACCACAGGCCTGAGTATGCCCAGCAGTGTCAGTGACACCTGTCTCCCTCACAGGTGCTAGCAGTCCTGGAGGTGCCCATGCCTCCCCTCGACGTGCTGAGGAGGTGCAGCCTCAGACAGAGCTGCATCCCACATGCCCACTGGTGGCCCCAGCAGTCCTGCTTGTCAGCCCAAGGGACAGTTCCATAGGAAACCGTGGCTGTCCCCTGGGAGGCTCATGGGCAGCGACAGGGGCCCTTGGAAGTGGCCAGGCCCCACCTGCCTGCCATGCTGCCCTGTAGGCCAGCTCAGGAGTTCAGCTTTGGGCCTCGCACTCTGCGGGATGCCCTGGTCTCCAGTGACACAGGACTGCAGCAGTGCTACACTGTAACCTTCTCCCTGGCTGAGCGGCTGTTCCTTGCTGAGGCCTACAACCCGCACAGGACCCTCTTCCATCCACTGCTCATCTACTCAGCTTTCGACTGGCTCCTGAGCCGCCCTGAGGCCCCCGAGGACTTTGCAACCTTCCACGCCTCCCTACCGCACCGCCTGCAGAGTCTGGCACGGAAGCACATTTACCTGCAGCCCATAGGTACAGAGGGCCAGGACTGGCCCGGCACTGCCCAGGAGTAGGGGCTGGGGTAGGTGGCTCAGGGTTGTGGTGGGCGGGGAGGCCTGGAGTCCTTGGTTTCCCCCATCCACCTTGACACGTTGGAAAGCCTGGACTGCAGGACCATTTGACCTGTGAGTGCTGCATGGCCCAGGTACGCGTGGTCTAAGCTGCATCTCTTGAAACCAGCTCATGGTTTCAAGGCTCTGTTCAGACATCTCTGGGACCAGTCCCTTCTCGCCAGGGTCCCTGCAGACAGCTTGAGTCTCCTCACTCTGCTGGGTGACAAGCAGTGCCTTGCTCAAGTGTGGGATTTGGGCTGAAACCTGTACTTCTGACAGGTTGAGGTGAAAGACACTGGTCTGTGCGCCTGCTCTGGGTCCCCATCCACCTATTGTGCAGCTTGGCTGAGCCTCTCCCATGCCCACATTGGTGCCAGCCATCCTGCCAGCCAGGCTGGTCTTTGTAGCCTGAGTGGGGCACACTAGCCTTGCCACCTCCTGCGGGCTGCACACCTGTCAGTGGTTCACTGAACAGTGCTGACCTCTCTGGCTCCAGATCTGAGTGAGGCGCCCCTGGGCTGTCCCCTGCTGCACTATTTGCAGAGCTGCGCTGAAGCCTTCTTCCTGGGACTGCGGGTCAAGTGCCTGCCCTCAGTGGCTGCTGAGTCCATTCGCTGCTCTTCACGCGCTTGCCGGGACTCACACAGGCTGCAGCTGCATACAGGTAGGTAAGATGGGGCAGGTACAGTGGGTTAAGGAGGGAAGAGGTGAGGGAAACCAGAGTTCCTTTTGCACATTGAACTGTCTGGAGACGGTGTGGCTCAGGGCTGTTGGAACAGTGTGCAGTGGGTATGGCAGGTGAAGCAGCTGCTGGAGGGCCTTTCTCCAGCCTCTTGTTTGCCAAAGCCTGTGAGTCTGTCCAGGGGACTGCAGACCCCGCCCCTCCTGCTCCTGCAGGTCTCTGGCCACTGAAATGGGGCCAGCTGAGAGGTGCTGTTGCATATAGGGCTCTGGGACAGGAGACCCAGGTGTGAGTGCAAGGAGATCCGTGAGAAGAGGCTGACATTGGGCCTGAAACCAGTGGGTTGGTATTGGCCACAGTTCTGAGAAACTGAGCCATTCAAATGCTGCCTGGTGGTGCGTGTTCTCCAGCTGGAGCTCGCTGCCTGTGTGGGAGCCTGGCTGCTCTCGTCCCCACGCATCAGCTCTGAATTTTTGGGTTTCAGTCTGTAGCCCTCTATCTCCGCGTACTCCTCCCCAGCGCCTGACTCCTCTTGGCTGGGTGTCTCTGTTCTACAGCTCCTGTGGATCCTTTCTCAGCTCCGCGGTGGCACTGCTCTGTGGCTGGGCCCAGGTGGTCAGTGTTTTTCCCCACTAGTTTTGTCTCAGTTGTTTACTTGTGCTATTTTTCATTATTTACTGATGTCTTGTTTGAAAACTTAGTGTATCTGTTAGGATAATTTGTGGCCTGGGATGATCATTCTCTGCAGATGGTATTTTTTTCTTCTCCCAGGTCCTGACTGGGACAAAAATGTGACACTTTCCTAGGTGACTCCTTAGTGACCCTCAGGGGCATAGACTGCATCCATCCCAGGGTGTGGGGATGTCACACCATCAACCTGCCTGTTCTCTGCTTGGGAATAGCCTAGCTCCATCACATTGATTGATAATTGAGGTGGGGTCTCACTATGCTGTTCAGGTTGGTCTTGAGCTCACTATGTAACCTAGACTGGCTTCCAACTCAGCAATTCTACCTCAGGCTCCCGAGTGCTGGGAGTATAGGGGTAGCGTTACCACGCTTGGCTAGCTCCATCATATCTAGTCCAGGTCTCTCCTGTTGGCATCCCTGGAAGGTCCCTGCTTGATTTAAGGTTTACAGGGGTATAATTGCTAGCATACATTCCGGGTCTTGGTGTGTATCTTGGTTATAGCCCCCTTCCTCTCTGTACTGTGCTTAGCCCTCCTCTTTGATGTCGATGGCAGTGGCAGCACTGTTCTGGTCCCCAGCCTGCTTGATAGGGAACAGCCTGCATTGCTTCCAGGGTTCACAGGACTCCCAGGCTGGGGTGGGAGTCCCTGCCCCCAGTGACATGCTTCTGCATGTCTCATTCTTCAGATGTGGTCGCTGAGAACAAGTCTGCTTGTCAGGCGCAGCCCATGCCCTGCAGGGCCTAGAAGGGACCCAGGGACAGCGTAGGCTGCCCTCACTCTATCCCCAAACACAGCCTGACCTCCTGGCCCTCTCCTCCATAGCATGTGAGGGGCCATTATGCCTGTGCTTATGTCACTGAACTTCTGGTCCTGAGATGCAGGGTTGAGCCTCTGTCCTGCCTGTTGGGTGGCCTTTGTACCCAACAGAAACTCCTGACACTGTCCCCCCACACTTCAGAGGCTGCCTGGACACTGGGGCCTCTGCACTGGCACTGAGATGGGTCGTGCTCAGATGGCTTTGGCTTAGAGCTCCGTGTCGACCTCTGACAAAGTGCCACAGACTACAGAGCTCCCACCGTGGAAATCTCTTGTCTCATGGTCCTGGAAGCCAACAGCAAGGTGTCAGGGGCCCCATGTCCCTTGAATGTTCAGGACAGGATGCTTTTTGGCCTCTTTCTGTGTTCCTTGGTGTCTCTGGACTGCAGATGTAAGACCCCAGTCTTCATCTGGGTCTTCCTGGCCTTTCCTGTGTCTCTTTCCTCCAGTAGTCATGCTGGATTTCAGTCCCATATTAGTGACCTCTTGATAACATCTGCAAGAAGCTATTTCCAAAGAAGGTCACATTCATAGGTAGCAAGGGTTAGGATTTCTCTTTGGGGGAACACATTTGAGTCTGTAACTATCATTCTCATCATCACTGCCATCTTCCTAGCCCACGCCCTTGACCTTGAGCCCTCGGAGATCTCCTTGAGATCTCCACCACTCATCTCCCAAGATCATGCTTTAAACCTGTGCTGTCCAGGACAGTGGCATTTTTTTAAAAAACAGCTTTTATTTATTTATTTATTTATTTATTTATTTATTTATTGCGGTCCTGGGGATTGAACTCAGGACCCTGCACTTGCCAGGCAAGTGCTTATTCTACTGAGCTATCTCCCCAGCCCCGGATAGTGGCATTTTGTACTGGATATATAAAATGTGAACAGTCTGAAATGTGCAGTAAATATAAAACATATACCAGATTTTAAAACTTGGAAAAACAATGTGAAAACTCAACCCTAAAATTCTGATTACATGTTAAGGCAATATTTTAGATATCTTAGGATAAATCAGGGAAGTTCAAAGTTACTTGTGTCACTTGTGCTGTTTAAACTGGACAGCAATGCACTTGGCTGTCACCAACAGCTAAGATCATAAGACTGGCCTCTGTCATCTCCTGTGGTATCTGCTGCTCTGTCCCTGTCACTCTGACTGTAAACTCCTCTGAGCACCAGGGAACCCAGTGGTCCTGCATGCTCTGTCTCTTAGCTATCAGTCTGTCCCAGTCTGGGCTTCAGGGCCCAGCCCTGTCACCCTGTGTCTTTCTACGTGCATCCTCCCAAAGAGGCAGGACCATGACCCAAGGGTCATGCTTCCGCTCCTCTTTCTTCCTGGTTCTTTATGTCAGGGAAAAACCAACTAAGAATGATTATACTCCTTCCACTCAGCTCTGACTTGGCCTTCCTGTACCCCTTACAGGGCTCACTGACCCCAGTAGCCCACCCTACGCCTTAGCCCTGTAGTGAGACTACTGCAGCCACCACCTACTTTTTGGGCACAGCTAGCCCCCTGTGAGATGCTTTTCCCATCTGTGGTCACTGAGACCCTCCTCTGGCTTTGCTGGGATCTTGAAGCCCTCTCTGACCCTTGTCCCTCCTGTCTCCACCTCCCTCTGGTTATGAGGGCCACCCAGATACAGTAGAATGAGCCCCAGCTCCACATCTCTGTCCACACCTGCAGTCCCTTTTGCCACATGTGGCAACATGTGTACAGGGCCTGGGATTGGGACCTGAGCTTCTTTAGGGCTATTGCTCAGTAGCCCGCAGCTGTCCCTTCCTGTGGCTGTAGTGGCATTTCCCTGATACTGTCGCATTGGCCTGGCCGCCTTTCCAGCAACTGCACTGGGCTGTGAATGGGCCTTTCAGTCCTGCCAGTCTAGATGGGCAGTGGCTGTGGAGGAAAGAGTTGAGATATCGCTGCCTAGAGGACCCAGATTTTCCTGACTCTCAGTGTGTGGCTGCTTTGAGATCTCATATGCCCACATCCCATAGCCTGGTCTCACCCTGGGTGCTGGGCTCCTGGAGGGCTGCCCCGATATCTCCAGGGTCATGAATAGAAGGCCCGGGCAGGGTGGTGTCCCCTCCCCTCAGGTCATGCTTGTGCCTGGCCTGGGGAAGGGTTGGTCCCAGGCAGAGGGAGGGGAGGGCAACAGGTTTGCCTTCCCAGAGCCTGGGCTGGAGCTGGGCCCCAGCTTCCTCCTGCCACCCAGCTCCTGCCTTCCCTACAGACGGTATCCTGTCTTTCCTGAAGAACAACAAGCCTGATGATGCGCTGTGCGTGCTGGGCCTCACATTGTCTGACCTGTACCCCTGTGAGGCCTGGAGCTTCACCTTCAGCACCTTCCTTCCAGGGCATGGTGAGTGGGGTGGAGCCAAAGTGCTAGGGAAGACACACACCTAGAAACAGCCCTAAGGGCCACAGTCTTGCTCCTGGACAAGGGCTCTTCCCCAGGCTTAGCTCATCCTTGGCCCTGGTTGGAGAGGATGGGGTGTGGGTGGGCACTGTGGCTGAGGCTGTCCCTGAGCTCCTCTCCTTTCCCTAGAGGTGGGCATCTGCAGCTTTGCCCGGTTTGTGGGGGAGTTCCTACAGGTGGGGCCCAGCGCTCCTAATCTGGCCCCCGTGGAGGCAGCAGTGGATGGCCCTGAGGCCCTGCTCCAGGATGGCCAGAGGCGGTGCTTCAGCACCCTGGGGATGGTACAGTGCTGCAAGGTAGGCATGGGCATGGCTATGGGAGGGCAAGGGTATATGAGCAGATCCCACAAGCCCTCTGCCTGGTCAGTCCTTACCATGAAGGGGATGATTGTGAAGTGAGGAAACTGAGGCTCAGGGAAGCCAAGCATGGTGCCTGAGGCACAAGGCTCTGAGGCTATCTGTTGGTCTCTAACCCCATGTCTGTCTGGCTCTCAGGCCTCTTTTACCACTTGGGAAGGGCACTTGCACCACATCCCATAGCCTGGTCTCACCCTGGGTGTTGGGCTCCTGGAGGGCTGCCCCAGTGTCTCCAGGGTCATGAGTAGAAGGCCCACGCAAGGTGGTGTCCCCTCCCCTCAGGTCACCTGTCATGAACTGTGCCATCTGCTGGGCCTGGGGAACTGTCGTTGGCTGCGCTGCCTCATGCAGGGGGCGCTCAGCCTGGATGAGGTCCTGCGGTGGCCCCTGGACCTCTGCCCCATCTGCCTGCGGAAGCTACAGCACGTCCTGGGCTTCCAGCTCCTGGACAGGTACAAGGTGAGCATGGCGTGTGCTGCTGCCTGTGGAGTCACTTGGGTCAGCGGGAGAGGAGCCAGCCTGCGCTGTGTCACGCTCCTCTGGACTTCGCTGGTTTCCCTGGCAGCAGGTCCAGTCCTCAGCGGGGGTCTGGACTGTGGGGCACGTTCAGGACTGAGGCTGCGTTGGGGTAGAGACGAGGAGCTGTTTCCTAGCTCAGCCAGCTGGAGGCTGGCACTTACTGGCATCTGTGCTGCTACCTGTCCTTCCTTTGTCTTCTCCAGAGTCACCTGGGATGTGGCTTGCTGCCACCCAGAGGAGGCACAGCCCCTTGGAACAAAGGGACGCCCCTCCCCAGCCCAAAGGGATAGGTACTTGGTGAGGGAGTGCTGCCCTCTGCAGGCAGCCTGGCCACACAGCCCACGGCCCCCCCTTTTTTGTCATCATTTTAAATTTTAATAAAATACATTTCATATTACATACAGTAAGTCCATCCACTCATTGTTGATAAAATTTTTAGAAATAATTTCTATAAAAAGTTTAGTATTTGGGAATTTATTATAACGTAACTTCTACAGGTACAGATTTTCATCACCCCATTCTTTTAATTTTGTGAAACTTTAAAAATACAGAAAAGTACAAAAAATAAGACAAGATATCCTTATACCACAATGCAGAATTCGTGAGTTTCTTCATATATTTACTTGCAGAGAAGTGGATAGTTATATACAAAGATGAAGCCCCTCCCAGCCCACCCCACACTCACTCCCAGCCCTTCTCCATTCTTCATAGACCATCATCAGGAGTTTGGTCTGTATCCTTCCAATTGATTTCAAAAACATTTACATATCTATGTGTAGCCATTAGCAATATAAAGTGTTGAACTTTAGGCAAATGTTTATAATTCAAATTTACAAAGTCACTGTAATATATATATA